TTTCCTCTAGGAGTACAAAGTCGTGATCCCCAGGACTGGTGTTTGGCATTTTAATCGCCACCAGCAATAAAACACCTTCCCAGACGACTGAAGAAATCTCAAAACATCGCAGGTGTGAGCACGTACCTCGGAGGACAGTACACTGCAGCAAAGGTAATGGTTTGGTTTTGGGTATATAGTGTAATGGCTGTAGATTGTATATAAGGTGTAATGGGTAAATGTAGTGAGTGGTGCTTTAGTGATGTTTTAATTAGTATCGCTGTGCTGCCGTGAGCTGTATTGTCTGGGTGATCGGTTCTGTATATTCTGTAACCGGAAATGTAAAATTTAGTACGTGGAGTTAAGTGTGTTTCGGTGATAAGGGCAATGTCAGACCGGATACAATTTAACACCAAAACAGGCTCAGTAAATCGAATAGTTTACGTGATACAGATTTTAGAAGATTTTATTTTCCATTTAAATTATTGTTCATGTTTTATAAAATGCAATTATCTTTTATCTTCAACAAACTGTCTGATATGAGTCAGCGTAGTAAATATTTGTTTATTGTAATATTTTGGAGGGAGGAAAGATTTGGTGGAAGAGAGTAGTTTGTTGGCCAGAACCCCCTTCCGAGGATCCTCCCTTCACATCACTATAAATTGCGTATCTTTATTTTTCTTGTAACTATATATTGAAAAAAAGGCAATGTTGCCACAATAAAAGTTCCCGCACTGTTCCAAAATGGCGACCAAACTTGGCTGAGTTACGTATTTGACTTGACTAAGTTTTTAACTGACCTAAACCAGTTAGCTTAATTTCGTCATAATTGGTATTTTATTAAAGCTGAATAGTCAGAGTAAAATATAGTATCAAAAAAATAATTGGTCTTGGCATAAAAAATACCACTAGTCATTTTTTCCAAGTTGTTCAAACTAAAGTTGAAAATCAAGCGTCATTTTTAATTAAACGGCTAACAATAACTAAAAACGCTTTGAAATAAAACATCTACAGAATGCATTTATCTTTCTAAACCAATGATTAATTTTTAACTTATTTGAAACAGTTCGTTTGAAAAGGCACTTAATCTGCGGAAAAGCGTCACTTGCATAGGCGTCTACGAAAAAGATAGAACGCAATAAATGACTCAGGTCATTCTAGCTCACTTATTTTATCAATTATTTATATCTCTTGTTATTAATAGTCATTCCTATATCCATTTGTCCTACTCCTTCAAAATAATAACTTAAATAAACGTTTACTTCACTAATTGTTATAAGGAAGGTTATTGAAGACAAACATGAAATTAGCTTAACATTTTCAAGTTTCGAAAATTTTACTCACTTCATTTACAATTTTTGTATACACTTGATGTAAATGTTGGTTAAATAAACTTTTTATTTCAATTTCAGTCTTCTGGTTGTGAAAAGTGGTCTTCCCTTCTCCCAACAAACCTCCTCTCCTTCAAAATGTTAAAATAAATAAAAATTTACTTCTCCGAATCATAGAAGACAGGTTATTGCAGATATGAAGACAAGTGCATGGGGTCAAATAGGAAAAATAGCCTAAAATTTTCAAGTTCCAAAAAGTTCCAAAACTTTGAAAACCTGTATCTCAAAAATTACTAAACTTACTGAACCTGTTTTGGCCTTAAATTGAAGCATATTTAATCTAGTTTAAAATTGCATTGAACGTTTTATCGAAAATGTGCTGCTTCGTGATTAAAATGGGAGAAAACCGAAAAAAAAGTGCAAAAATATAGTAGTTTGGGAGTTTTAAAAAATCATCCGGCGGGGGGGAGGTCACCGAGGTCGAAAACTTGGATTTTGCTTCTCAGTCGCATCCCATACAAGGAAACAAAAGAAACTCTTGATCCCTATTCTGTTGAACTTAGAACTCTCATTTCGTGACAAGGACAAGGAGGCTACAAAGCACTCTTAATGATTTTCTAAAGGAATCGCTTAGGTCCCTGCTCACGCACTCTTTTGGGCCATTCATTGGCTGAACTATAATGTTATATTTAATTCCATGCCTAAATCTATAAATGTATACGCTCCCCATATTCTTGACTGAGGCAGGAAGACCCACTATCACCTGTCCTTTTCAATTTAGCATTGGAAAAAGCTATTAGGGCAATACGAACCAATCCTAATAGAACAATTTATGATCGACTCACACAGCACTTGGCATATGCGGATGATGTGCTCATAATGGCAAGAAACACTGTAGCACTAGGAGGAGTTTGAAAGGGAAGCAGCAGAAGTGGGCCTTCATGTAAATGAAGGAAAAACAAAATATTTAAAAACTTCCAGGCACCAACAACTGTAATGCCACGCCATTGCAGATTGGTGATCACAGTTTTAATAGTGCAAGCACGTTTAAGTACCTGGGTGCAGTCATTACACACGACAACAGCACGAAAGAAAAAGTGAAAGCCAGGCCGGCTGCAGGTAGCAAGTGCCTTCATGCCATACAAAGAACTCTAAAGTTTTAAGCTCTTTCCAAGAAAGCAAAAGTCGTAATTTATGAAACCATATTGAGACCCCTAGTTACACATGGCAGTGAATCATGGGTTTTGATCAATTAAAGTGAAAGGAAGCTCAATGTCTGGGAAAGAAAAATACTCCGTGGTATACGGGCTAATAAGAGGAAGTCGCACGTGGCGTTTAAAAAACAATTGCGAGCTCCGTGCAATGTATGACAAACCAGACCTGGTATCATTTATGAAAAAAGCCCGCCTGAGATGGCTCGGACACGTAGAAAGGATACCAGAAAACTGAATTCCAAGACGCCTGCTATATGAGAAAATTGGAGGGAAGCGGAAGAGGAAGGCCAAGAATGCGGAGTAAGAAGATGGAGGACGCGGGTAAGAGACAGGAATGAGTGGCTTGGAGTTCTTGAGGAGGGCCAGGTCCTTATAGGACTGTTGCGCCCAGCGGCAAGTAAGTAAGGGTTCCAATTTAGTTTGGAATTCAAAGTGATACCAAGATATTTGGCATTCTAGCTTAACTTGAGTTAATTACCAATTTTGTGTCCAGTCCCCGTTTTTAGAAAAAGCAAATGACAAAATCAACATTTTCATTGCAGTATATTGATAAAAACATTTATTACACTATGCCTGCATACATTAAAAATCGTATAAATGAACTCTCCACTTATAAGAATTGCACTATTATCTGCAACTACTTGATTATATAACGCGGCGTTCTATAATCTTCTTTAACTTCTTTCTTTAACGAAATTTTATTGTATTTCATCCCAGGAACTCTTCAACAAGTATCATGAACCTCCAGCCTTCGGGAGACTATAAATAATCACGTTATCTATAAAAAGAATTAAATAAAGAATCTAGTAAGAGTTCGTGACTGAGCATATTAGGACGTTGCCCGCTTTAATATTCTCGAGTCTAGCGGAACCGATACGAATCCGGCTTGAGCAGGTTAAAATGTATTTTAAAGCGGACTCATGGAATGAATCTTAACGACCTTCCTATTCTGGTTATAGGAGAACGGGATGGCCTAGTACGTTGGGGCGTCGCTCCCAGAGTGCCCGATTCTGAATTTTGTGGGTTCGATTCCCACATGGGTCGGTTACTTTTCATTTCTCGGCAGCGCCGAGAAATGGATCGTGAGATTCCCACTCTCGTAAGTACGCGGCGGCAACCTTGAATGTAGCCGTCAGGGGTTGGCAAAAAGGACCACTGTAGGCCCACTTACCGGACTAATTCCCCCCACACAGTACCAGTACCAGTAGTCTGGTTATAAAAGGTTTGGTTTTATCTCTCGATTACCCCTCTCCTTGTCTGTTAGAGGTGGCGAAGCAGGTTGCAAACGACGAGAATGGCAAAGCACTTCTTCCATCACGACCGTACTACATTTCTTGGAATTATCCTATTTAACTATAACTAACCATATAGGAGCTGAAAAACATTATTTCTAAAAGTATCACTGTTAGTCTAATTACAATTAATAGGACTTAAAGAATCACTTAAACACCATTTCATATCGGTAGTATCTTTTAAGATATTATTGTTCATGTAAATACATTTAATAGGACTCCAAGAATCAATTAAACGCCATTTTGTACAGGTAGTTAGTTTATTTCTTTTCATTCCAAACACGGGGAATCTACGTGGGGGGGGGGGGAGAGAAGCTTTCAGGCTGAAGCCCCTCCCCCAAAATGGTAAAATATAACCATGTTTTATGGGAAACAAATTTAAAAATACCTCTTAAAGTATTATTGTTCGTTGTAATTACATTTAAAAGGACTTAAGGAATCACTTAAACACCATTTCATATAGTTAATTAGTTTCTTTCTGTTTTTTCAAAGTAATTATCGTTATTTTTATGAAAAAAAAAGCTTTCGGGCTGAAGTCCCCTCCCCCAAAATTAAATTCTGGATCCGCTAGTGATTCCAAAATAATTATCGTTATACAAAAAGAAAAAAAGCTTGGAGCGTGAAGTATCTCCAAAATTAAATCCTGAATTCGCTACTACCTAGATATATCAAGATCTATTATAACAAGTGTCTAAGTAAGTAGTTGTCACTCCGCTCCAAAATAATGAAATTAGTCACTCTGAGACCGTAATTTTATCCATTAAAAATGTTTAATGTTAATACATGATTTACTTCATTCCTCAGTAACATTAGTAATTTAATCGAGCTCTACTGTACTCTTCTTCTCTTATACTACATACTCTTCTTAATAAATCTATTTATATATGTAAAATTATTTCAACCATTAAGAACTTCTCATTTCTTATATTTACACGAATCTAAATCAATATCTAAATTAAAGATTGATGAGTAGCTCATAAATGATTACTAAAAAGTTTTCTTCTAATTTCATGATTTATTTTTAAATCATTGTAATAGTCCAAAAAATTCTTAGAATTGTATTTAATACTACTTTAATTTATTGACTCAATTATTAATACATTTTTTCTTTTCATGAAAAATGAAAAAATACAACATTGTTTGTAGTACGTAACAGACTTTTGTAACAAAGTGAGAGGTTTCATGGTGGCCTGATCTGTTTCAGTATGTAAGGTTAATGTTTTGATGAAGGTGTTAGCGAAATTTGTTCTGTTATTCCGAACTTTCTATAATGTCGGAAAAGGAAATTATTTTGTCTTACAAAGAAATGGCTTCCGACGTAGGCAATCATTTACAAATGATTAAGGTTTGTTTGATTTTCCATATTTCTTAAATGGTCTGCTTATTTACTTTTTTAAATGTCCATAATTAAGTTGTATTTGCTCACTTTACATTGTTTTTGTCCTTTCAGGACAAAACGGCTATTCAGTTTTTAGCTTATAGCTTAGACCACAAAGACCCAGAAGTAGTTAAGGAATCTTTAAAGGCCATAGAATGTTTAGTTAAAAATACTCAAACTCATAGCGCTTTAAGAACCACATTTGGTGTACTTGAAGCACTAAAAGCCACTAAGGATAGGTATGGTATTGGAATAATTAGTTTTAATATTAAATTAAAACATGGATTGCATGAGATATTATTGCTTGTTTCTAGGAATGATCTGGACAATTCTTTGCTCAATTTAGCTAAAGATATTCACTCAAAACTTGAACACCCTTCTTATGTTAAGCAGACAGTTAATAAATTTGAAGGACAGATTAAAAAAAAATCATCCAAAGTTTATTCTTTTCATGTTTTTGGCTTAAATAAGGTATGTATCATATGTAGTTTTTACTTTAGGTTTAGTTAATCTCTTTGTCATACCTTTTCTCTATTTAGGTTGTTATTCAATCTGACATTTTTTTCTACAATTTAGTTTTTACTCCTATTTGTTTATCCTGCTTTTTGAAATTTATTTAGATGGTATTTAAGTTTTTGATCCGAAACAAGCACATTTTTAAAATCAACTAACTGGAATTTATTGAAATGCATTTAATGTAATTTATTAATCACCATTCTGATTTCATAATTGTATCCCATCTTTCATGATATAATTTATTTTTTAATGGGGTTTAATAATAATGTCAATCATTCAAATGGATATACTAGTATAAGTATGGTCACCAATCTTTTGTAATCCTGTTAAAATATTGATTGGAAACAATCTTGCTGTGAACTTTTGCTTCCTTGCACACTTACTTAAGTTTTTGTTCTATGATTTTCAAATTATTTATTATTGGAGCATATAAATGGATAATATATTAATGTATTTTGAGTATTAATATTAATTGTATCTAAATACTTATTTCGTTGTCATTTGAGCAGTTCCACGGGAAATAAATACTGTGAATATTTGATGTATTATAATTATTACTTTATAATATTTCATAAAATGCTTTATTCATTATATACACTATTAAAGGTGGTGCTGCTCTTTACCCTCTGCTAGAAATGGTGATGTATAATACAGTGAAATAAATTTTTTATTTTGAATTTTACATCCTCGTACAAATTCTGTCAAAAGCAGGAATTGTAGGTTACTTAACTTTTCTAGCATACCACTTTAGGCTAGAAAATGTTAGTACAATCTATACAACTGTAGAGAGTTATACAGAAATATTATCAAGTTAATGACCTATCTATTGTTTAAGATTTATGAACCATACAAATATTTTGTGTGTTAATAAAAATTGGTTTTTAGGATACAAGAACTGATTTAGAATGTGCCCTTGTTAGAATAAGAGGTGTTATTTCTGTACTGTTAGACGTTGAACACCAGAGATGTACTGTACGTGCTGTCGAAAAGGTTACACCTGAAATCATAGTCAATTACATTTCAGAGAAAACGAAATTACAAGCTCGCCTGGTTGTAAAGAACAGGTTAAACCAAGAGGTATCTATAAAATTCATTTATAATTACTATATACACTTAATATTATATTTCTGCTTCTTGTTGTATCAGTTCTATTCTTAATAATAATTTATGATATTTAATTTTGAACAATCCTTTACTGGTAAACAAATCATAAAATTATAGTTGATTAAAAAATTTGTAAACTTATTGTTACAAAATGGTAAACAAGATAAATACCTTATTCAAATATTTTTGCCTCAACTGACCTTGTTGATTATAAATAACATTTATTTTAATATCAGTGTAAAATATTAATTTATACTTTATTAAGTCTTTATTATTTTGTCAATTTCTACCTGAAAATCAGTTTTTAGTTCATACATTATCTGACTAAATTAAAGTCTACTAAATTAATAGATTTCTTTTGTACTGTCTTTGAGAAAATAAGGCACTCCTGGGTGCTAAATTCTTAATAGAAGAACTTGGTATGAGAGGTCTTGGTCAAACACATTAAAGCGTTGCCCTCTTTATCATTCTCGAGTCTATCAGTGCCAGTTCAAATCTGGCCTGAGTGGGTTGAAGTTTTTGTTGTGGCAGACCCACAAAATCATGTTAACCCATGCTATATAATATATGGCATATAACCCATGCTAGTTTGGTTATACCTCTAGAACAACTCCTCATATCCCGGAAATGACCAGGGAAAAAAAACTATTATTATTTATTTTTGCCATTTTATTTCTGACTGATCACCCCAACCATCCTTCTCTTCATTATTGTATGCATTATTTTGTAAGTGAGAATGCAATGGAAAGAAACTATTGATCATATTTATTAAGAGTCTGAGAAAAGATTGTCTAGAAATTCCACTCTTTTCTATATCTTATAAATGATTTTTACTGACTAAATAAATAAATAGACTAAACCGTTAATCATTTATATTATTTCCTTATAAGATTTTAGAATATTAAGCTGTAGAACATTACTGTCTGATGCCTATGATTTTTCTGTCTCTATAACATTTCTAAATTTGAATTTTTATAAATGTAATGCTTATTGGAAAAGTTTGGAAAAAAAACTGTGATGAATTGGAATGCTTGAATATATATCAATATTGGTATAAATGGAAGATGTTAAATATACCGGTATCTTGTTTATATTACTTATAATAAAATTTTGTGATTAATAAGTAATGCTACATATATAGAACAGAATACATACATATTGATCTTATCGGTAGTGAGGAATATTTTTTGTTTCTATGCTTCTGGTTCATATCCTTATGTTTTTCAGTGATTTGGTTTGAATTTCAAAGATTTGCATATAATAGAAAAAAATTTAATAAAATAAAAAATTATGTTGGCAATAGTAATAATAATTTAAAAAATACAATGTTATGCATCTCGTTAACATTACTTATGTTCCCCTTGAGTCTCAGATTTTCTTTGAAATATTAGGTAATGCGTTCCAATGATATCTCGAGTATTCAGTTTCAGAAAATTAATATGGATGAAAAATGATTGTTTTATCAACAATGGATTGGTTTTAGTTAATTTCTGGCTATTACTTTCCAATTTTTGTTAATTATGCAGAAATGTGGCCATAATAAATTTATTTAATTGCTATTGAGGAAAATGGCTGGCACTACTCAAAATGGAACTTTTAATAGATTGGTGTCAGTGTGTATATTAATTATGTGTGTGAATATATATATATACATATACATAGAAAACAGATATTGAAGAACAGAAAAAAACGAGTACAACACAAATGTTAACAACTCGTTGATAATAATAAGTATTAACATTTCAAATATTAATTTTAATCAACAAAATGTTTGTTTACACAAAAAAATTGAACAAATTTTTAAGTGTTTGTTCCAGTCTCCTTCTAAGCTTATATGAAAAAAATAATAATAATTTTAAATGAGTTACTGGTAGTTGAACTTAATAATTGATAATTCATCATAAATAAATACATAACCTTTACTTTGTTGATTTTAGTTTCGAATAATTAAAAATTTACTTATTCTCATTAATGAGGTCGAACCAAAAAGAATTTTGGCAATTTGACAAGATAAAAAAGGTATTCGTTTGTTACTTGTCAATGTGCCAACCTGATTGTTATTTACATTTAATATTGTTACTATTTTATTATTTTGTTTAACATAAAAATAATTTAATAACATTTTTATTATTGCATACATATGTATAACATGTTATTCTATATGCTAACACATAAATGTGCTAACCTAGACATTATATGCTTTATAAAATACAAATGTAATAACATATTTTACTTGCAAAAATAACTGAATCATAGTGGAATAGGAGGTAAGTCAGTAAACTACACCTAATGAGACAATACAGAAAAATTTATCATATTGAAATCCAATCATCCCTGACAAGGACTCCCCTGAGTATTAGAGTTGGATGCAATTCTTAGAGTAGTAAACGTTCTCGCTGACTTCATACTTTTTTTCCAAAGTCTAATCTTTTACTCTTGAAAATAATAAAAATTTAAAAAGAAGGATGTTGAACTTGAAAATCTATATAAGGTTTGGATTATAAACGTTACTTGAAAAAAATTCAAGTTTCAAATTCAACTGCCGTTCCTGAAATTTTATTTCTATGTTTGAACTTATGAGTTAACCAATTGTAAATCTCTTGAGATGTAGTTTCTTAAAGCTGTGAAAATCATAAACTTCAGAAATATCTGTGAATAAACCCGAGTATTACTTTGTAATGTTATCCTCATATTCCACAACTTCAGAAACATATGAAAAGAATATTAGAAACTAACATTTATTCTAAATGAATGATAATAGTTGATAAGATGTATGACCAACTAACTTGTTTAATGTATCATCATTCTGAATATAAAATAACTGCGTTACTGAAAATTCCAACCTTCTGATCGTGTATTCAAAAGCAAAGCAGTATTCTTCATATATGAAGCCCATTTATAATAAAACATTAAAATTAATTTAAAAGAAATTTATGATGGCTAGAACATTGAGGTACATATATAATAGTTATAACTCTGAGATTAGTTAATCATAAATCTCTTTCATAAACTAAAATTTTAAAAAAAGTAAAGGAATAGAAATAAACAGTAAGATGTTGAATAACCCATAGGAAAATAAATTTAAAAAATAAAATCAAATGTACAATTTGTTTTTATTGATTTATTATTTATTTAATTTGTTATATACAAACTAAGATATAAAAATCATTTTACCTCTGACAAGATTTCATTAAATTAATGTGTGTAACTTTGTAATATTGGCTTAATCAAAGTTAACAAATTTTATTTTAAAAATTTCCTTTGAGATGGGTGGAAGGGATTACCATTGCGGAAAACAGATTAATACTCATATGTATACAAAAAAATATCCCAAAGTATTGTTAATGCTAATCCATAATTTGTTTGTAAATTTCCAGATGCTAGTCGCAGTATCAGATGATATTAAAGCTACCGTAGATGAAGTAGACCTGCTTCCAGCTTACCTGCCTGAAGAAGAACCACCTGTCAAGGAGAAAGCTATTAGTATATTTGGCTTTGAAAGAATAAAAGCGAGTGCTGCTGGAATAATTAATACTGCTACCGCCCTATTTCAGAACTCATTTTATTGGTGATTAGCATTATTTGCTTAGACATGAATTATCTGTGATTATTTTTACACAGTTTTATAATGCATTTTTATAACATGCAGTTGAAACCAATCTGTGTATTAATTGTTAACTTAACCATTATAATAAAATGTAATATTTTATCATTGTTTGTTCTATTTTTGTAAATACATTCAGTTAAAATAATATATACTTTTATACATTCCTGACTTATTATCTTTTATAAAAGATTAAATTATATTTGGTAATACACTCTATTAAGCTAAGGACTTAAAGGTATTTCTTTATTTTTTATAAATTATTGTTTTCCTAACATGACATTTTTCAATTACATATATTGATATATATATATATATATATATATATATATATTGACATATATTGAACAGAAATAAATTTGTTACCAAATGGATAGAATGAAATACTTTTGTTATAAACGTGTGTTGTTAATATATCATTTTGTTAACATACCTATTTTTTCATATTACAAATAGAAAACAAAAATTGTTTTTAAACTGTATCTGCATTCAGTGAGTAGTTATTTTTTAATTTATAACTTTCTGAAAGTCTTCATGAATTAATAATTAATTATAGTGAGCTTTTACTTCCTTATTTATGATTTATTAATTACATAAATACCTTTACCATTTTAAACTTTTTGGGACGTATCGGAGTCTTGAAAATACCATCAGCCTATATTGAATTCTGCAATATTACACGACATAATCATATAATGTAAATTTTTTTTCTCAGTTCCTGATTATATACTTTTCCTTAATACTATGCTAATCTAATTTTTATTATTATTTAATTTAGTATAAAATATGAAAAAAAAAATCTTTTCTCTGAGCTATACCACCAATCATGTTTCGCCTCTGGAAGAACCTCGTAACTCAACATAATTCCTCATGTCATTTAAAAATTGAGTGTGGTCTCAGTCAAATCACCTTGCAGAACCATTCACTAAGAAACAATACTTTCCCTAAATAGTACTGAACCCAAGATTTCATGGGTTGTAGTGGTAAAAGATTTCTTTTTTATTTTAATAAACATTTTATTTTAGTTTATAAGTGTATGCTTGTCAAAGTATTGCTAGTTGGGAATTATTAAAAACAACTTGAAGTAAAGAATATCATAATTTTTTTTTAAATAATTGGGAATAGCTGTTGCAAAACTTGGTGAACACCATGTATATTGTTATTACATAGTTTTATCTTAATTTTATGATAATCATATTGGGATAGAATCTTTTTTTATATGGGATAGAATTTGCTCTGTTCAATTGTTTTTCTTTACTCTGTTTCCTTTTGTTTACCTCTCACTTGTTTAATTCCTTAATTTTCTTTAATAATTTACAATTATAACCTAGCGCTTTTCTTACTTCATACAAATAGGTCTAACATTAATTAATTGTTTATATATAGTATTTCTTTATTAGTTATAGCTTAAGTTTATTAATAATGTATGGACATCTAAGTTTTTTAAATTTATTTATTTACATTTTGGACTTTCTTCTTCTTCCTCAATGCTATGATCCACATGGGATCTGGGCTAAATCCATGATTCTTGGTCTGTTTTTACTTTCACTTTTAAGTAAGAGTAAGTATTGCGGTCATGAAAATTTTTGAATCTGAGTTTTTAACGGAAATACGCGTTTTGAGATCCCCTTAATAACCAAGTCCCGCAAAATGGTCTGTGTGTGTGTGTGTTAACAGTCTAGCTCAAAAACGAAAATTCGTACGGAAGTGAAATTGCAGATTTAAGGTTTTTATATGCTAGGGAAATTACAGCAACTTTTTTGTCAAAATTGGCTAACCAGAAGTGGCACTTTATATAATGCACTAAACACATTTTTACATTTATCTCGAAAACCACTGTAATGATTTTGATTAAATTCATCATATCAGTGTAAAATTAAGCAGTTTTAAATAAAACGTGGTTATTCTTCTGATTGATGTTCTCTAATAGGGCTTAAATTGCTAATTTTCAATATTAGCTTCCTCTAAAGTACCTTTAATTTTTTTTATTTGAAACAATAGACCATTTCACATTAATTTCTAATATGAAAAATGGTTAAATATGAAAGAATTTGATAAATAACTAAAGGAGAAATAAGAGATCGTAACGGAGAATAGTTGTAATTGAGGAACCAAAGGAATACGAGTGCACCCAAGCTAGCCCCAAAGAGTAGAACATGCTTCCATAGTTATCATGAGATTAATGTAATACGGACTCCTACAATACTATATAAATATACATATGTGGTTTTCATAAATACTTTCGTTGGTATTATTTAATTGTATAGATTACAGCGATATAAATATTAAAATTTTCATATATAATCTGTATACTTATGCAAATAAAAATACCCACAATGAAATATAAATAAATATAGAGTCTATAATTTTTACTTTCACTTCGTTTTGTTAGAAAATATTTATTTCTGCTAAGAAGAGGGTGTTAAGTTGAGATTGTGTGATGCGCGCAACACACCGTATTTTTAAAATTGCAGATTTGCTGGTTTTTAATTGTTGAATGTTTCTTTAACATAAATACTTTCACAATTTAGGTTATATTTCTCCTATCTATTTTATTTTTAATTTTGTCAGTTAAGTTATTTTGTTATGTTTTCATGATTATATTCACTGAATATTTTTTTAATAACATGTTTCTTTTGTTGTTTTCATATGTGCTGTATACATTAATTTGATTTTTGGGTATATTACATTTTTTGCCACATTAACTTTCTGGTAGTAGGAATGGTTAGTAAAGAAAATTAATAATCTATTGTTAGAACGTTTCAACCATTTTGTTGGAATTGTATTATTTTCTAAAGGAAGGAGCTGGTCCGGTCATAAATAGGGGTGGCGGTCATAAATAGGCTAAATAGTGGCAAAACTATTTTATTAAAAGTCAACGTTTAGACCCGACTTTCCAGGTCTTCTTCAGGGCTAGAACGGACAAGAAACAAAAAGATATAGAAGTATATCTATATCTTCTGCAAAGTCGGATCGAAACCTTGGCTTTTAATAAAATAGTTTTGCCACTATTTAGCCTATTTATGACCGCCACCCCAGACCATCTCCTTCCTTTATAATGCAACGGTCAACTATTAAATATTCACTATTATTTTCTAAATTAATATCCTGTCCTTGTCCAAAATTATTATGTACTTATTCTAATATGAAGTTAAATTTTTTTTTGCCAATTTGAAATTTATTAAAATTGATTTTTTTTATCGTTTTCTCCAATTTTGGTGTTAATAATGTTACTGATGAGTGTTAATAAAGTGATCTTCAGAGGTTATATTACTAGTTTAAAAAATATAAGAGATATTACATTTTGGCGCTCAACAACGCGTGGCCTTATTCTTTAAAAATTAGATCAAGACAATCATCACAACTCAAATAAACAATTTGTTTTAATTGTATAGTTTTTTAATAATCATTTTTTAGAAATATGTTGAATAACCAGAGAGAAATGATGAAAGATAGAGAATTTAATAATATAATCCTTGGGAAATCTTATGGGGATGTTGTTATTTCACAAAATGAGGAAGAATCAATTGTTCAAAGCCTACTTGATGAAAATAGGCAATCCAAAAACTCTAACAGTAGATGCATGGGAAGTGAAAGTCTGTTGGGATTAAATGTAGTTCATGAGTTAAGTGAAAATAATGTGGAGAGTGAAAAAATAAATATTAGTAATAGCAGCAATTTGAATTGTACTGATATTAATAATATGTTTCAACAAGTAATGGCTATGCTTTATAATTTGAATAAACAATTTGATAATTTAAACAAAAAAAGAAATCTAATAAAACAAAGGAAATTTTGAAACAAGATTGTGATAACCTAGAAACACAAATTATTGCAAACATAACTGAAGTTCAAGATACTACACTGGGTAAGAAAACTTCCTTTAGTCACTCAGAAAGTGATGAGAAGCAAACTGTTATTGAAAAGATTAGAAAACTCAATTCTTCAATTGATATTGGATCAGAAAATCTCTTAAGAAAAGAGAAAGAAACCCTTGACTTTTGAAGAAAAATTAGTGACAGCAGAAGTTAAGGTAGAAACTCATACAGTTAATCCAAGAAAGAACTTCTCAAGTTTCAAATCGAGTTCAAAGGAGTAAAATCTAGCAGAGAAAAGTATATTAGTTATTTTAGTCCAGAAATTCCTTTAATTCCAGGATAGACAACTCTACCATTCAAAGATAAGTTAAGAAAGTTTGATGACTGGAGTAAGGAAAGAACAGGATTATATGAAGAGTTGTTCCAAGGACTCACAAAGTATAATTTTGAGTGTGATGGACTACCAGTCATCCTATTCATTCTAGAATACGGGAGTTATGTGATCCTGGACCATGTTAGAGTAGGCCACTTACTATGTTATAGTGAGACACGGTAGTCTTTATCCTATATATCCAGAGGATAAAAAAGGATTTTCAACTTAGCATCGCTTCCATTGACAAGCTGGAGGGTCCTGGCGAAACCATCATTGTTACCTGAACTGAATAACTTGTAAATATCATTGTAGATAATATAATTAGGTTGTTGGTATAGTTATTAGAATTTTAATTATAAATTTTGTGAACAGAAGGTAATGGACCTCAGAGTAAACAATTGATTTAGATTGGATTAAATAACTAAAATATAAATATAATTCCTGATAATAATATTTAAAAGATAATAGAAACGTGAACTTTAAAATAATAGAAAAGCTGAGTAAACACTCAATTTTGATAGATGATCCAAACAGTGGTAATACAAGGGGTCTATTTCACACCAGCCTTTTTTAAAGCTCTCTCATGTAGTTTAACTCAGTATATCTATTTCTAATTCTCCATACTTTTTAAATGCAATTGTGTGCTCTCTGCTTATTCCTAAAGTAAAAGTTATTAATATTTTTTAATGTTATATAAACAATTCAAGCAGTTATTTTTTAAGTTAGTTGTACATAAGATATGGAAATTATATAGTATTTTTTTTGTAAATAATGTATATAGCTTATTTTATACCTTATATATCAATCTACTTTACTAATTTTTCCTGTACATAAATTATATGAATAAGTTATGTAATTATTGTATGTAGTTTATATATTGTGTAAATTAGTTTAAAATTCAGGTATGGTCTTCAATTTAATTTTAGTATTCATATGTTACTGTACTCGTATGTATCATTATTAATTTTATATCCGTGAA